GGTAACAGCGTTGCTAGGCTATACGCCACGCCACAACTAGCAACAGCGAACGGAATAAAAGCCGGCTGAGCAGCAAGCGAGAGTCAGTGTGTTATCAACAGTTCTCAAGGTAGCAGCCTGCGAGTGTGCGATAACTAAGACGTCAGGGAGCGGAAGACTTATTGTGTGCTTTCGAGACTTAGTGAGTGCTGTAGTACAGTTATATCTGAAGTGTGTAATTCAGGGAGATTTGTATAGCTCCCGCGTTATTAGTACGTGAAGACTTTGGTTGTAGGGTTTGTAAAGTGTGGAAACCCGCAACTGTGTTATAATTAATTGTAGCCGGTATTTGTAGATTGTTCAATAAACCAATTAACGATCTCTACGGCGTATTCAGTAACGAAACACGTTACAATATATATTGAGAATGCGATAAGTGACAAGGTTATTGAAATTCAAGAGGTGTAAGGAACAGTATGAAATGGCGTGTAGAATTAAGGTCATTTCACATGCTGGATTACACTAGTTCACTATACAAACCGCTGACGACTTCTCAATTCGAAAGACATGTCCTAATGCAGAAATGTTAACGGCCCTAAATATGCATAGCAGAATACAGGTAGGAACAAGACAGACCGACAAGAGATTGTTTATGAACTAGAGTGGGATGGTTTTAGTGTATGTGCAATGTTACGCCGTGGTGACAGAAAGCGTGGAGGTATCCCACAGCTGTCACACTATGTTATGGCGCGAGGGGGGCGTGGAGGAATCTCTGCACCTCTTCCGCCATCCATGCCGTGCACCCTTGGGGAATGGCCAGTTGCAAGGCTAAGCACTTGGTACTTCTCTCGTTAGCTACCTCTTGGCTGTGAGTTCAAAGTATCTCTAACAGGAGATGTACGGGAGATCGGGGAAATTGAGGTGTGACTTTGGGGTAAGTCATTAACACATGCATCCCCCTTACTTGGTCTACTCTCGTTTACTAATATGTACACTTTATACATATCACTTTCATGGCCGACAGTGGCCGGTTACGTACACATTTTAATTTGGATAACGATGCACTTGGGTTCACCATCCCTAGCTTTCGAGGTAATTCCCACGTCCTGACTCAGGGCAAGCGCTCTCTGACCTAACCCTGTAACATAACACTTTAATAATATCACACTCTATATCCATGACTGATACGAACAGTTCCAGTTACTTGGTGTAGGAAGCTGATGGTGTCCCCTCACTTGGTCTGGCACGACCCTGGTTTTGGCCCTCCGGGCCTCTGGCTGGCTACACACTTAACATTGTACACTCAGTTACGTTGATCGATAGACTGACTATAGATATCCGCTACATGATCAAAAGATTGATTGTTTGATCCGAAAAATTCCATCATCGATTCAATGACAGACGCCCTTCCAGTTTCGTCCGCAACTTTATAACCTTCCCCCTGCTGACACCTGTCTTTGGGATAAGCTCCGCCCCTTCCTAGAGCGAATTTTCCCCCAAAGGTCCGGCTCTAGTTGGTCAGCTGGGTAAAGAGGGTTGGATCTCCTCAGACCGTCTCGCTGAGTCGGCACTCTGTACGCTTGGCCGTACAGCCGCTCGCAGTCTCTTCCGCGTGAATCAGCGGTCTAAGCAATGCGACAATTTTCTACTGACGTCGCTCTTCCGCATTTTTACTTCAAACATTACTCTTCGTCTAATTTCTCTACTGCGAACCCAAAATAGCTTAATACCTAAAAGTTGCAAAAACCCTTGCCGAAATTCTACGGCATTACATGGAATAGTACAGATAGTATATTTTTGGATATTATCCATCATCTTGTCTTTATTTAAAACGGTCCAGTTTATTTTTCCAAACACGTTTCGGAGACTGGACTCTGTCTCCGGCTTCAGGTGAAACATACTCAGTTGGGCCCAAACGATAAATCTAGTCCGGAGATAAGGAATATGATCCCACAAGAACTGAGCCGCCTTGATGAAATATTTGTGAAAACAGAAGCTTTAGGTAAGAGCCTACTATTGTCGAAACTGCAACTGGGATCAGACTGTGAGACTCGTTTCTCTGTTCTGAGAACGGAATAGTCCACTGATGGTTAGTAATTCTACTTCTTCAACAAAACTTGAACGCCTATTTCAAGACAGAGGCAAATAATAGGCTAGAATATTTTGAAGTTGATTCTGACTATGGTAGGCGACTCTCAGAATTGCTGGGTTTTTGAACACTCTAGGTGTCTTCTATTAAATAGATTCACTGACGATGAGAGGGATAAAAGAAACCGTTATTCTCTTTAGAATGTTTTCATTCTCAAGGAATTCATGTTACCGTAAATTTGGTTTCAGCCGAATTTCCAATTAATACGCCTTTATTTGCTACAGATAATTTCCCAGTGTTTGTGGCCCAGTGTTTCCGAAAACATATATATTTTTGAACGTATTGTAACGTGTCGCGATTCCAGAAGAGACGCTTCTATGGAAACACTAGAATAGACCGTTGCATAATAAACAACAATTGCTCCATTGTAGTTCTAACAGGAATCTCCACGGTTACGACGAATACGCGAAGGTTCTCACAGGGACAACGCAATAACAATGGGTTATTGCGTAGGAAACGCGGAGCCAACAATGCAGCGTTTCCACTGCTATAACAGAGAGTTCGTTGCCTAACAGCGGCCAAGGGTATAAAAGCCCAGTTTCGACGAGAAGTCAGTCTCGGAAGAGCCAGCTAAGGGGCCAGACGTGATCAAGCCTTCGGGGAAGAAAGTCTCGGATCGCCCGTCTAAGAAGTCAGTTCGGAATATCCGTCTAGGGAGCCAGTCTCGCCGGAATATTGTGAGCAGTGATTGTAACACTGCCGGGGTAAATGATTGTAAAGTGTGTGTAATGCGAGCGATAAGAATAAACTCGCTATATTGGGACAACGGCGTGAACTTATTTGTCGCGTTATACGCCCAATACGTGACAGTATTTTAAAGAACTGAACAAATCGCGAGTAAATCTGGAAATCTAGGTGCTGGGAAAATGTTTCCGAATTTGTATTTGTCATATACGCCCAGACAGTGAGAAATTGTGTGAAGGAAACAGTTGTCGTACTTCCGCCCACCGCATTAACAAGAAATTCTGAGGATATCTACTAGCTTGTTTTCCCTTCACTACATATTATGTAACTGAAATCTCACGGACCGCATAGAAATCATCGGGTCCAGCAAATCTTTGTAACTCATTCAACAGTCTTCTAACAAGCGGCACTACAGAGTGTAGCATGAGATGCTGACAGCGGTGTAAAATATAGAACACAAAGCTCTAGCCTTAGGAACCAATAGTTGTGTTGAAAGTACAAGAAGTAACTGAAGTTCCCGTACCCTGCAGTAATATTGTACACATACTGCATTCGTATGAAGTAACAATGTGCGCCGACACAGCGCAGAACGCTCCCTTTGCAGGTAGTAATAATTTCTCCCGGTAGATGGATCTCTCGGCCGCGAGTTATTGACCCGTACATGAGAACTGCATATTTAGAAGAGATTCAAACTTTTATTTCTTAATATCGAATCCGTTGCAATATTTTATGTTACGATTTGATTGTGAATACACGAAGAGAGACCTTAATGTATGCATACATTATGTGCGTGCGTACAATTTTCTGCTTATTCATTGCCCAACACGAATTATTTTAATTGAAGTCATTCCGTAGCACACAGTATCGCATTCAGTGAGCACAATCAAATTTCTACAAATATTCTATTTTCATACCCTCTGAAATAGAACAGTGTTATGTTAGATTCGGATGGGCAGTTTGATGTAAGTATTGTAACGCATTTGATCTACGTGTCGTCAGGCAAAAAGTCTGCGAACACGGTCCAATACGAAACAAAAGAGGAAGCTGTGTTTCTGTAGATCCCACAGACTCGCCAATAGACTGGTTGGATAGCGATCACGTGATATGTGTTTACTCTAGGTCCATGTCCTTCCGCGGCTATATAAGTAGGTGACAAAATGTATTCAGGGCAGTTCCGAGTTACAAGCTACGAGTAGTAGCAACGGCAGAAACACGTGAACAGACAGTCAAGTCAGTTCTCGGTAGGAGATAGCCAAGGGAAATTAGTAGCTGAAGAAGGATTTGAAGTCGACCTATTAAGAACTAAGGTTTAATTACAAGATTTTAATCATGATTAATACTTGGGAGTGTGTAATTCGGTGAGTCTGTTATAGTTCCCGCGTTATAAATGAATGAAGACTAGTAAAGCTAGACTGAAGAACTTAGTGTGGTGTGATTGCAAATTGTGTGCAGCAGCGCTGGCATAATAAATAATTGTAGTTACGAGCTGTAATATTTTAATAAATCCAATTACTAATTCGAAACCCGTCTTTATTCACGCATACACGTGACAGTATCTTGACTTCGCATGAAAATATGATGTGTGGAGCTATAAAACCATATTTCGGGAGTTTTAATTAACAGAATATATTTTGAAATGCTTGTTCAATGGTAATGTTTCTTTAAGTGGAGATTACATTTTGTTTATGAATTTAGAATCGTGAAGAATGAGAACTTTGTGTAAAGAAGTTTCAGACTTATTATAGAGTTTCATACGGACCATGTTTCCTTTTCATTTGTGGAATGAATAATTATGACAGGTCTATAATATTACTACGTTTTCAATAAACCTCAAAATCCTTGCAATGGTCTCCTTTCGAACTTAGTTCACTTACCAAATGTCAAATTACACGTATCACAATGTCCATACAGTCAGAATTGTGACTCCACTGAAATCGCAGCCCAGGGACACTTCTATGGTGAGTCATGGGAAGATAAACGTAAAGGAAGGAAACAATAGAGGCATGCGCATATGCCCAAACAGAGGAAATCTCATGCAGATCAGTAGGATATTTATTTCTTAAAAATAATTGAAGTTATGTTACTCGCACAAAATAAAACTATGGTTAGAAACAAAGATGGCTTTGAAATAAATTTATAACATCCGAATAATGCATCGAGTCTAGTCAGACAAAGTCAAATTCTCTACAACGTGAGAGTACATACACAGTGAAACAACACTTCGACACAAAACAGAAAAATCACAAAATTAAAATAAATACGACGGCTTGTAATTCTTATTTCCAAATTAATTACATTAACCTAATACAAGACAAAAGTTTATAAAAATAATACTGAATCCTATACATGTAGAAGCTAAGTTAATTGTTGAATACAGGCATTTGTACATCAAATGAATGGATATAAGAGTGGAAATTCAATTAAATATGCTAGAAATTTTAAACATTTCAATTTAAATTTTGAAAACAAATGTAAAATAATGGGCTTCGAATCATATATCAATACTTCTCTAATAAATCAAAATGTCGAAAGTTCAATACAAATTTGTGATGTGAGAAGGGCGTTCGAGTACAATATGTGTCGTACAGGGGAACCTTCTGCTTCTGTGATCACTTAATTCGCTATAGCAGATTTGAATATTTTAAACACTGCACACCAGTTAATATAAATATAGACACTTTTATCAGACTATGGCACTGTATGGAAGATTTCTTGGGTATATTACGCTGAAGTTAATTGTTCATGGTGTACCCCATGAGACCGGTTTGGATGTCTGTGCAGAAAAAGGTTCGTACAAATTTCACTATATGTTTCTTCCGGCACTGTTTATTAGGAGATGCTTGTTTAGGTTTGAGTTTTGAGCGAATTTTTCTTGCACATATTTCATGCAAAAGTTCGCTGCCCACTGTGTGTTCTGAGATGCGTTATTAGGTTACCGCGATGAGCGAACATTTTCTTACAAACATCGCACGAAAAGGGTCGTTCGCCTGTGTGAATTCTGAGATGCACGTTCAGAGTAGAGAGATGAGTGAATCTTTTCTTACATAATTTACACGAGAAGGGCCGCTCTCCTGTATGTAGCCTGAGATGCTTGTTTAGGATAGAGTGCTGGTTGAACCTTTTGTGACATACATTGCAAGAGAACGGTCGTTTTTCCGTGTGTATTAGGAGAGGCCTATTTAAGACACTGAGCTGGGAAAAAGTTTTCTCACACATTTTGCACGAAAATGGACGTTCTCCGGTGTGTACTCTTAGATGGTCGTTTAGGTTGTAGGGCTGAGTGAATCTTTTATGACATACTTTGCAAGAGAAGGGTCGTTGTCCCGTGTGTATCATGAGATGCCTATTTAAGACAGAGAGATGGGAAAAACTTTTCTCGCACATTTTGCACGAAAAAGGCCTTTCTCCTGTGTGTACTCTTAGATGGGCGTTTAGGTTGTAACGCTGACCGAAACTTTTCTTACACACTTCGCAAGAAAAAGGTCGTTCCCCAGTGTGTACTCTGAGATGGATCTTTAGTTGAGAGTGCTGACCGAACCTCTTATTACACAATTTGCATGAAAAAAGTCGTACTTCAGTGTGTACCCTGAGATGCCTGTTTAGGTTAGAGCGATGAGCGAACTTTCTCTTACATACTTCGCACGAAAAGGGTCGTTCTCCACTGTGCACCCTGGTATGACTCTCTAGATCATAGCGACTACTGAAACACTTGTTGCATATATTGCATAATAACTTAGGTTCATGACCTCTGAACGGTCGCATTGTACTGCGCTTCCCAGTGGGCGATCTGACACACTTTTCACAATGAGACATTGTTTCTCTGCTGTTTACACTTTTATGTTCCGATATATTATTGCTACGAGAGAATGGTTTCTTACATATCTCGCACGAATCAAACTTCTCTTCACTCCGTAACTCTGACAAATCTGCACTGTGTTCACCAAGGGCTTCCTCAGTGCTAACATCCTTATTTAAGTGTACACATTCTGTACTGGTTGCATCCAATTTAACAGTCTGAAAGAAACAGAAACGCTATCAGGAACTGTATTTTTTGGAGTACTTAGCAGTGTTTTAACTTTCCCCTTGTCAATTTCTCTCAGATGAGAAAGAAACAAAGTTGCATTGTGTACCAGCGAGATTCACAACACAGAGTGACCCACAGATAAATTTCTCTCAGTCAATACATTATGTTGGGTCTGTTGCGCCGGACACAGGCCAAATACGGTGCATTAGACAAGTCTTTATACGGCAGCAAACATAGACGGAAAGATATGACGTCGCCCGTTCCCTTTATGTAAAATATCTTGATATGAATATTGCTCCAGATGCTCACTGATATGCAATTGTCTCTAAAAGTCGTTTCGTTCCGTTTACACACCCATGTGAGAGTATGTTTAATTCGTAATATTTGAGTTAAAAGAATGATCAATTTTCACTACATCTTTGTACGTATTATTGTAAGACAAAAGTGTTTAGAATTAAATTTGTACATACGTGTATGTACAAATGTTGTATGTATTTACTCTTAGAAAATAATGTCGCTCCTCTGAATGACTTCGAGACAATAATTAGTAAAACAATTGAAGTTATTGTGAATGACTAGTTTGTAATGCTTCTCAGCCAGTTATCTTCACCGTCATTGATATGGGGCCGCAAATCCGACACGGCGCTTCTCTCTTTCTATTCGCTTACAGTAATTTAATCAAACATACTGAGAAGGTTATTTTTTTTCTGTGGCGCTACAGCCCCAGTGGGCCTAGGCCTAC